ATTGTCCAGCTAAGATGCAGGCAGCAATAAGGCATTTTTGAATGTTTTCTGTTATTCGTCAGATGCGGCGGCGACCATCATTGGACGCTTTGAAGTGCCTGAGTTACAACTCCTTCTCTGTCCTTCCTCCATGCAGCGACATAATTTACCATTCCAAGTTGCAGCGAATTTTTGCACTTTCAACTAGATATTTCACATCAAAGGTCACATCATCTGAAAGAGTGTTAAAGAGGCTACAAAATAACATATAGATTTATTACTAGATATTAAATTATCTAATAGAAAACAGGGGTTTTAATGTTGCATGAAAGTTCCCACTGTAAAATGTCCAACCCAGAACAAGAAAGTGTATCATTACGAAAAATAGTGAATTAAACAAGAAATATCATGGATTAAAAGGTTTTGAGAGCAAAAATAATTTTATTAGATACCACTGAACAGAAAAAAAGCATGAACTCGAGAATTTTTTTTTACAAATGTCAGCATCTTAAACCACTGTGCACTGTCCCATTATCTATGCAATGTTTGTCCCTCTAAAACATCAATTTTCAAAGACTTGAAATGAATTTGGATAAGACTGGCGAACAACATGCTAACCACCGCTGGAAAGCTCAGTTCATAATGAACAAAATGTGCTATTTCATCACAAGAAGTGATCATTGGAACTCATGAAATACACAAAATGATTCAAATGAAAAAAGAATGATTCAAATAAAATACAAAATCTTATAAACAACTTGGTTATTTATTCCCAAACTAACCCCAGAAGAAAGCATTCAAGAAGGGCATTAATTGCACATTTACATTTAGGGCACACATACAACTGCACAAGCATTAATTTTTTTCCCAAAATTTTTTAACACAAAGTTTTAAGGATGCGGATTAGCAGGGAAAAATTGTCGTTGTGATCATAGGGTGTAGAGGGGTCTCATGGTTGTTAAACAGATGGTATATAGCAAGCCTTCACCATGCTCTGGCTATGGACATACATGTATCGGGCATGCCAGAAAGGGGTAATTGGCCACATGTTATAGCCTGGGCAGTTCAAACTCCTGTGTCCTTCCTCCATGGTTGAATGATACTTTCAGCAAGGTTTATAAGGTTGTGTGCTGCTATGTAAAATAACCACTTATTTCCTAATTCGCAAGCTCAACCGGAAATAAATTATTTCCTACTGCGCTTGCCATCCCTAGCTGCAACAAAACATGACAAATGCACATGGTATGGGGAGCACCATTCTTCGACGAGTAGCCTGCGGGAAACCTGGTACCGATGTTATATTATAACTGAGACCAATGGTACACAAAGCTTTGTCTACAAAATCCTGTATTTATATTTCACATATAAAATACTACCTTCACGAAGCTTTTCTCAACTGTCTTGTCTTATCCATGCGGCTAGCGATAAGAGGCCAAATGCATAGCGACCAAATGCACCTGCGACCACTCACACCTGGGAAAAAAGAAGGCACGTCCACGCGGGCTGTCGTGAAAACCGTCAATGGCCTATTTACTGCCTTCTTACTAAAACCTGCTATACAATAGGAAAATACAATTATGCATGTACATGTAGGCATATACACACAATGAACATATACCTGTGTTGTATACATGTACAGCATACATTTTCAA